TTCCAGTTATAACCTGGCCCACCTAACTAGCAATCCTGGCCACGTCATCGTTTTAAGGGCTAAAACGACACTAAGGTTAGATTTGGACCGGGATTAGTTAGTTTGGGGTCAGAACGACAGGGATTCCGACTTCAGGGTTTGATTCGCCGGACGTCTACGAATTCAAGATTTAAAATGGATTTTTTCCGACCAAAATCCACCACAGTGAAATCCTTCTACCCCGTCGCGCAATCTTACAAACACCATAACGTTCCAAAATATACTAACGCAATGGTTAAAGCGGACGTACGTCCTGTACTGTCAATTTTGACCTGACGTGAACGAGAGCAGCTAAAATGGACGGACGAACAGTAGTGCGTTGACCATCATTACCTTGCTCCTCGTGCTGCTGCGGCGCGGGTGCCGGGGCCGGCGGCGGCGGCAGCTGTGGCCCGGCAGGGTGTTTCCTGCTGTGGCCCAGCGTCGGGCTGGGTTTGAAGCCGGATTTTCCAAGACCCGATATTGAAATGCCAAGAGCAGACCTACCCGGGCATGGACAACCTGACCCGAAAAACCCGGGCTGGGCCGGGCTCAGGCCTTGTTTTATAGCCCAAAAGGTAGTTCAGGACGAGGTCGGGCTTCTCTTTTTCTGTATTTCGGGCCGGGCTTTCGGGCTTCAGGCCAGGCTTGCATGCATGTACACTAGAAAACAATGTTTGGGCCGGGCGTTTGGGCTTCGGGCTTGATTTTTAGCCGGGCTCGGGCTTGAGAAACAGAGTGTATTTCGGGCTTTGCTAGGCTCGGGCTTGATAAACGAAGGTCGGGCTTTTACAAGCCCCGCCTGAAACCAGGCCTGGCACGATGTTTGCCCGGCTTTAACCAGACCTGACCTGTCTCGGCACTCAGCCCAAGAGGACTACTCTCTCTGTCCAGACGCATTAGGGTTTAAGGTTGTCCGCACTGGGAGGAGTATCAGTTTACGGCGGGAGCATCATCTATGCCAACTAAGCAGTTTAGATGAGATTACATAAAATTAAATAAAGAAAGAGATGATTGACTATGATGATATTTCATAGATGAAATTTTACAATACATTATAAACTTTTTACAATATGTGACGGGCATATTTTATTATAATTTTTGCATTTTTTTGCATTGTATGTTTTTTTATATATAAACTCCTTATAATATGATGGGAACTTATCAAAATATGTGACTAACATTTTTAAATACACAATGCAACATGATTAGGACTTTTCAAATACGCAATTAATATTTTCAAATACATGTCAAAAATCAGAATCGTAACGAATATTTTTATAGCACACTATTGTCAATTTTAAAGCTTTGTATTGACATTTGTTTTTCAAAAATTTGTCAAAAATATTTATCTGCAAGGGCATGAATATATTTGTTTTTCTTAATATTGTATTTATTTCTCATTTTTAACTGATTGACAATCTTTTTTACTTTTTAAAATATGTGAAATAACAATATCCTATTGATTTTTTTCTAAATGTACGTGCATGAACATATTCATTTTCCTCAATATTATATTTATATCTCATTTTTTAACTGGCTGACAATATTTTCTAAAAAAGAAATATGTGAAGTAAAATATATATTTTGACTTTTTTTTAAACATGGCTTGAAACTGTATGTTTTTTTATGTTTGCTTCTTTACTGTTCTGTTTCTTGTTTTTGCCTTCTGGTTAGTTTTTATTTTTCCTTGATTTTTTTTTAAATTTTCATTGTTTTTGTTTCTATTTTCCACCCTTTTTCTTTTTACAGGAAATATAAATATTTTCCGGATAGACACGTGAGTTTTTTTAAATACATGATCACTTTATAAAGTATGTGTACATTTTTTTTGAACATGTCAATATTGTATGGTGACATGGAACTCGGGTAATAGTCATGAAGGACAAAGTTGGCCCCGTGAACTGGGCCGACAACTCGGAGTCCATATCCTACACGGGGGTGCATCCGCAGTTTGAGTACAAGACATGTATATTACCAAAATTATTAGACCTAGTTGTAACCGACTAGGACATATATTTGTAAACAGTGAAAGATCTTAAAAGAATTTGCAGTTTCGAATTAGTATGTGTCAGTTAATCACTATTCATTTTGTCCATTTCTTCGCCTTCTTAGATCCTACAAGAATATTGGAATATGTTGTTAATTTCAACAAGAATGACTAGAAACTTACCTGAATAACAACGAAAAACTGAATACATGAAAGGATAAATTGAGTCCAGCTGTTGTAGAACAAGAAGGATTCCAATACTGATATATTTTGCAGGTAAAATTAACTTAAGATAAGGGGTTTCAGATTGTATTAATTTGAGAAAAATCAACAGACACATCTCTTGCTTTCAGAGCATCTTCTGCACATAGTCTAATTGCTTATCTTGTCAGCATTATCTTATCTCACCTGTGGCTAGAGGTGGAGCTGAGGAGGTCACATTTCCAGCAATTCCAAAATTCGCTTGATTTGTTGCAACAACGTTATTTGAGATTTTCATGTGGTTATGGAACTTAGAAAATCGAATTTAATTCCTGAGCTACAAGAATTGTTTTTCTCCGTAGCTGAAAAACGTAGAAGAAAGGCTACTGCGTCAAGGTATATATTCTTCTGCTGATGTTTTGTGATGGACTGACACACTTGTTGAACTAAATTCATATATAGTCTGACAAAACTGAAAGTCCAAAATTGTATGTGCTCCAAACTGTTTCACCTAAATATTTTTTTCAACAACCGACAAGAAAGCTGCCTAAACATCGAAAGATGCAAAGTGGCTACCATCGGCAAGAGATAATCTGAGCTTCCTTTACCGATACATCAAACTGGTGCAGCAGGGTTGCAGGAGTCAGTCAGAGAAACAAGTACCAAAAAGAACTTGGGCAGAGTATAGGACTACCACCTTCTCACTCTAACACAGCATGCATGTAGTAACTAGCAAGTGAACATTACTGCATACATTAAGACATCCGAATATAGGATTAATTATCGAATATAAGTACTTTAGCATAGAGGGTGCGCGTAAGGCAAGTATCTGAAACTAGAGGTCCTATACTCACCACACTCATAAGATTCATTACAGCTCCACCGGTAACTTAACCTAGTATCCAGAAATTGTGTTAACACCATCCAAAGTGCCTCGCAGTTTTCCATCTTTGAATCCTGCATCGTAGAGCCATTGTTTGGTCGCATCAATTACAGGGGCACATTAAGAAATCGGCTCACTGGAATGTTGGAATCAGGAATAGTAAGGTTTTCAATTTTGAAGATTTGACTCCACACTTGTAGTACCTATAAAGACATGAGGATTTCAGCTATTAAAGACTGATCGGATAATGAGATAAAACCAAGAGAAGCAAGAGCAAGGCTATACCAGCAGGTGCAAGCCAGTTCTGAATACAGACAAGACACTCAACCCGGTTTTTATTACCCGACTCAGACATTACTAGCCTCGCAGTTCTTGTTGCTGCCTTGCAGTCAGTACGGCGTGGTAGTGCCAATATATCGCGTGCCATCCGACCAATTGAAGGATAGGTCAGGCTATGTTCCTTCCACCATTGGAGCACACTGGACTCACCTGCTGGAAGCAGTTGCACCTCTTGCAAGTAATCGTCAAGTTCAGTCAGTGGTCGCTGACGATACGGATATTCGGTACATAGATACAACTCATGCAGAATATCTCTACCGCTGAACTCTCCCGTCCAAATTTTAGACCAAGAAGTGCAGTCAGGTTCTTCGGCCTGGTTTGAATATTCACCATAGAGGTTAAGCAGTGCGTCATGCACTTGGCAAATAAAATCTTCTATGTCGCCGTCCACGGTATAGGCACTTTGCACCGTGAAGGCTTGTATGCGTGACTTGATGTGTTCCAGACGGTATTTAGGATCCATGACCATAGGCATGCAAAAATGCAAGAAACAGACTTTCCAGCATTTCTTGAACTTCTTTTCCATATTCCGCCGCATAACGGAAATTCCCTCCTCCTCCTTGTCACGTAAAAAGACTTCGGCGAGTGTCTTGAACCTATCAATGTCAGTGTTGCGAAGCACCTTTTCCTTCACATTCCACACCTTATCAAACACTTTATCCGGGCTAGGCGATTTCTGGACCAAGTCCTTGTATCTATTGAAGTCTTGCAAGTATTTACAAATTTTCTGTGCTTTTTTCCAGTCATCCGCTGATGCGTATCTGTGCTTGTGATGATGTGCTAGTGAAGGGGTCGGATACATCCTGGAACACTTGCTGGTATCCTCCATGATAGTGTCAAGTTCGTCCAGCCCCACCTGAATAACCTCATCAAGTAAATGAGTTGCATAACGTGCCACAAACAAGCTCCGGTTTGCAGCAACTTTGTTCCTTTTCTGAAGACTGGTTTTGACATTTGAAGCCAATGAATCATCAATGAATGCGTCATCCAGTATAATGCTGAAAACCTTGCCATCAAGACCCCATTCTCCAATAGCTCGCAATATGGTATGACTTAGTTCTTCTGCTCTGCAAGAGGGGCCCACAGGGCTAAATCTGATGATCTTTTTCTGCTTCTCCCATTCGTCGTCGATATAGTGAACAGTCAAGCACAAGAATGCCTGCAGTGGACTGTAGTGCCACACATATGCACTCAGGCAAACACGGCATGGTAAAGCTGTTAACTTCTCCCTCAGCTTGGCCTTTTCTTGATCGAACAAGTTAAAGGTCTCATTCTTCAGGTCGAAGCGGGATGGAATCTTGACGGCAGGATTCAGGTCGGTAAGAAGCTTCCAAAAGTCAGCTTGTTCCACCATCCTTGTTGCATGTCCGTGCATGGCAAATGTCCTGACGAGTTCTTCACGAGAAATGTTCTGATGGGTCACTTGATTCTTCTTATTCTGATCAGTTGAAAGAACTGGGGAAGCTAGATTCGTCTGCTCGGGTGCTGCAGGTTCCTCATGAGACCCATTCTGAATAGCCTCCTGATTCTTTTGCCTCTTCTGAGTCTGAATCTCAGGGCTGCACTTGGAAGTGAGTCTTTTCTTTGGCTTTGCGCCCAAGAGCAGAGGACTAGGGGCACTGTCAGTGCTCTCATCTTGTTCATTGTTGGCATTGCCAGCTGCATGTTCCACACCTAGGCATAACAAAAATATTAGTATTTCTTTTTATAAAAAATATTAATATCTCAATATCAAACAAGTTGAGGTAAGTATTTCAATAAAAATAACCCTGCTAGGAGAGGTTAACTGAACATGCCTTTTGTTTTCCATATACAGTACAATAAGAGGGTTAACTTAGCAGATTTTCATCTGAGAGGTAAACTGAAAAGGCACAGTGGCTGGACATGAGGCGAATTGAGCAAGGAACTATACAGTGGCTGGACACTGAGATTAACCAATCAACTTTTTCATGCAGTAACAGGAATAATAGTGACAGGACCAATCAACATGTCAGCAGTGCTGTATATGCAGAACACTATTGAACAACCAAGCAAAGAAGCCTAACAGTAACATTTGAGGGACACACATGACTGTAAGATTAATGCTAATGAAATGAATCGTCCATTTCTCCTTTCCCTGTATGCAGTCGCTGAAAGCGTGAGACTGTCAGATCAATTCCCGTGTGTAATCAATGGAAAGGGGAAAAGTATAAAAAATCCAGAGAGGAAACAAGAGATTACGGATCCGTCGCCTCGAAATGCCTCAAAAGGAGCTTACCATTCACCATCCTCTCGTCTTCGTCGGTGCCGCCGCAGTCGGGATTGGGACTGCCACACTCTTGATCTGTGCCTACAGTTGCCACGCCCGCGCTAGGGAGGGATCGATCGGACGAGATGGCCGAGCGGAGTTGGGATCCCTTCGGACTGGGGAGCTCTAGGCCGGCCGGAATCGGGGGAGATGGGACGTGGGACGTGGGTGGCGGCGCCCTTGCCTCCGCGGCGGAATAAACGAGACGCCGACAAACAATTGGAGGGAAGAGGAGCCGGGCTTTCCCGCGGTTTTCCCCCTCCTCCCGCCAAGGCCTTGGAGGTTTTCGTCATGGGTGGGCTCCGTTTGCACATAGCCCAGTAGCCCAATACTTTGAGGCCACTATGGTCCATTGGCCAGCACTACCATTTTTCGTTCATCCCTAAAAAAAACATTTTCATTCCTTTGAAAAAAATGCACCATCATTTTCATCCTCGCACCCTCTCGCCCAAACCGTGGCGTGCGCGGGGGGAGCTAATCGGGTAATTAGTCCAGGGGAGTGCTGTGCGCCAGGTTTCGAGCGGTTAGATCTGACATTATCTCGCGGCCGAGTGTCTTCCTCATTTTTGCAATGGAAGTCGTGTTGTGAGAACCCTTTTGCAACATAGGCCTTGTTGCAGAGACATTTGCAACAAAGGTTGTATTTGCAACATAACCCCTCCATTCCAAAATAGATGACTCAACTCTATTCTGAAACGGAGGGAGTAGGTCTTATTGCATAAACGTTGTCGCGTGGCGCAACAATAGCACATTTGCAGGGACTGTTGTTGTGGCGACACCGGTGGTTGTGAGTGAGCTCGAGGAGGCGACAACCATGCATGGTTGTCCACGCCGGTGCTTCCTCGGGAGCGCAGGGCGACGGTGGACACAGACACCAGTGCTCTCCAGGGACGGCGGACGCAACTTGAGGACTTGGGGCGGCTACAGATGGAACCAGCGTCCTGCAAGGATGAGAGTTGGGAGAAAGAGAGGAAAATGGCTGGGAGAAGACAACAAAGCCTTTTGAAGATAAGGTAGGGGGCACGTGGCTGGTTGGGGCTAGTAAAAACATATGTGAACGTGTGCCGTTAGATCAGATGGGATCCAACGCTGTATGGGCGGTGAAACGCTGTCCGTTATAGCGCCACCATTCAAATGGGATTCAAAGTCTCAGTCGACGGATACTTAGCGAAACTGTTTTATTATACGTTCAATTTTGTTCAATGTGATGTAACTACTAAAAGGGTTTCACTTTGATGCATGAGCAACGAAGGGAGACGTTTCAACCATAAACGCAAAGTTATAGCGCCACCATTCCTCTAATTACTCCTACTACGTCCTCTTATATATAGCTCGAGTCTGACAGAGAAACAAATCAGACGACGACCATGGCTACTCTCCAAGCGCTCTCCTCCGTCCTCGTCCTGCTGCTCCTCGCGCAGCACGAGCGCACGGCGAGGGCGAGCACGCTGGAGGACACGTGCACGGTCGTCGCCTCCGGCGCTGGCGAGGAGGCGGCGCACCACTACTACGACTTCTGCGTGAAGACGCTGGGGGCGGACCCGGCGAGCGCGACGGCCGACGAGCTCGGCCTGGTGGTCATCGTGGTGAGGATCGCCATGGCGACCGCCAAGGCCACCGGCGACCGCATCGCCCGGCTGCAGGCCTCCGAGATGTCGCCCCGGCGGCGGCTGGTCCTGGACGAGTGCGCCAACGACTACGCCTTGACAGTGCGCTGGCTGGGGCGCGCCTCCATGGACTTGGCCGCGGGCGGGGACGAGGACCGGCTGACGGAGGCGGCCACCCTGCTGGAGCACGTTCGTGGCATGCCGGCGCGCTGCGACAAGGCGTTCGTCCTCTGGGCCGGCGAGAGGACGCCGCTGACCGACGCGGACCACGAGCTCAACGGGGTGACCGTCCTGGCGTTGAAAATCTTGCGCCATTGCTTAAATGACGGGGCAAAATGAGCAAGTAGCACGAGGCCTTCTTCTACCTCCGGAAGAAAATGATCATCTTTTCCGGCAGTGAAATATGAAGTTAATTGCACAGAAGTACCATAATTCGGGCATCACATGCAGATTGGTACCACGATTGCTAATTTTTACGTGTCAGTACCAATATTGATCCAAATTTTTAAAAAAAGGCTAAAACGCTGATTTATACGTATTGACAGTGTATCTGACCGTTGGGGCCCGCCTGTCAGGTGCCGACGTGGCATATTTTTTGCAGAAAACCCCTTAGCTTTATATGTAATCACATAAATGCCCATTTTTTCGCAGGGAAACCGCCATTGAGAAGGATTTTTTTTCGTTCGCAAGTTTTTCACGGACTTGTTCGAAAGTTTCCGGCGAATTGAACAAATAAATAACCGAAACGGTCGAAAAAACGCGCCCGAGGGCGATTCGAACCCGCGACCTTCAGGCCTGCGGCTGCGCGCGCTAGCCACTACGCCACAGCATCGCTGTTGACATTTTACAGGAGAAAGGTTTGTTATACTAGCACACACACGCTGGGCCGGCAGCTGGGCCAAGCAAAGATATTGTTTTCTGTTTTCTGCGGAAGTGACGGTGTTCTGGACGCCTGAAGTGACGGTGCGGAACTGGCCGGCGTTGCCGTTTGCGTCTATCCACCCTTGCTGCATTCATTCGTGGCCTTGGCAGCAGGGCGCCATGCCGTGGACTTGTCACTGCCATCACTGCAACGCGTTGGTCTGCAAAAGGGATGTGTGAAGTGGTTCAGCTTGACGTCGCGCGAAGTTGTTAAAACGCAGTGCTGAACTTGCCCGTCCGTCTGAAATAACCAGGTGCAAGACAGTTCAGGTAGTTTGACATTCAGGTAGTATCAGTACTGGTACTGATGAAGGGCGTTGGTCTTCTTCCCGCAAGGAAAAAAAGAAGGCATTGGTCCTCAACATCTGTGTACAGATCCGATCACGGTTCAACAGATTGCAGCGGAACGGTGTTGAAAATAAGGGACCTCCAAGGTGAAGATAGAAGCGATTTACATGGCCAGGGCACTTGTAAAAAAGCAGAGCAAAAAAGAAGGGGAAAGATAGGGCTGCCAATGGTAATGACTGAGATTCAAAAGTTTCTGTCTGTCCTTGCCAGAACAGGATAAAGAGACTAATGCAGCGACAACAAAAAAACATTTGCTTTGTATAAAAAACGAACAAACAAATTACACTGCGTGTACAGGTGTCCTCAAAAACCAAACCAACAAATTCAAACATAACAAGTCCAGCAAGCTCATTTGGCTTTGCTTCTCAAAGATGTTCCGTACCACAAGGGAGGTAACTATGGGTGTTGAGTGCCTTCCCTTTGCTTTGTAAATCTCTGGCAGAGTTTGGCTATGCTATGGTGATATCACCATCAGTTTTGATTAATCATGCATCAGGAGAAACAACTCTGTAAATAACCTCCATATTTTCACTTGAAAGTTGGACAGCCTACAGGGAACAAAAGAAAAGGATAAGAAAATATGGTACAATAGTATGAACATTCAGTTCAAACAAGGTTACTTTCTAAGCTGGTTAACACCTTTTGTTCAAAGATATTCTGAAATCCAAAAACATTTGTATTATACTCCACATTATTCAAATGGAAGTTTGGTGTCATCTCCTCAAATTCAAGATATTCTGAAAATGGAAGTTTGATCATTTTTGTAATATATGTTGAACAATTTTCTTAATATATGTTACAAAAATTGTTCAACATATATTAAGATTTTTTTAACTTATATTGATCATTTTTGTAATAAATATTCACCGCGCATTATGTAAAAAAAATAATAGATGCAAAATGACCATAACATTTTTTAAGTTTATAGTGAACTTTTTATTCTGCCATATTTTTTGTAAATACACACTGAACATTGAACATTTTTTTATATACAATGATTTTATATAAATATACGATGAACTTTTTTTGTATTATAAAACCATTTGTCACCTATATATTGAACCTTTTTAAAACGATGAAAGTTTCATTCTCGGGTTCATATTTCTATTTGGCAAAAAATAACACATGTAGTAATCTGCATGTTTACCAAACTAATAATTTTCTCAAAGATAATTCTATTAATACAGCCTGTGTAAAAATAAGAAAAAATGATCATTTTGCATCTACTAATTTTTTTGTAAAATATGGCAGGCTTTGCTTGGCCCAGCTGCCGGCCCAGCGTGTGTGTGCTAGTATAATAAATGTTTCACCTGGAACCCGTCAACAGCGTCGCTGCGGCCTAGTGGATAGCGCGCGCAGCCGCAGACCTGGAGGTCGAGGGTTCGAATTTCCGTTGCGCGCGATTTTTCGTTTCGGTTATATATTTGTTTAATTCGCCGGAAACTTTCGAACAAGTCCGTGAAAAACTTGCGAACGAAAAAAAATCCTTCTCAATGGCGGTTTTCCTGCGAAAAAATGGGCATTTATGTGATTACATATAAAGCTGAGGGGTTTTCTGCAAAAAATATGCCACGTCGGCACCTGACAGACGGGCCCCAACGGTCAGATACACTGTCAATACGTATAAACCAGCGTTTTAGCCTTTTTTGCAAAAATTTGGACCAATGTTGGTACTGACACGCAAAAATTAGCAATCGTGGTACCAATTTGCATGTGATGCCCGAATTGTGGTACTTCTGTGCAATTAACAACAATAAAATGAGTAATAATAATAACTTGCAAAATTTCCAATGGAGATTGTAGAACGCTGTGGTCTTATCAGTATTTATTTATTTCAAAAATGACGCTGAAGATTTTCTCTGATTCACAAGAGTTCATTCAGATCAGGCGAGGAAGGTTACCGTTCGATTTTCACTGACAATTAGGTTTTTGATTGAGAGTTCTGTGATTCTCCAGCTACATGTCTTGGGTACGTGGTACCTTTCTCTGACTCTTCTTTTCATTATGTAACCTCTCTGGCCTTTACAAAAAAGACGTTCTCTGGCGAAACGGGGGAAGGAAGGGGAGGATGGGGCGGCGGCGGAAGGAAGAGGAGGACGGAGCG